GGGCTGCCTGGCCTCCCCTGTGTTTCTGTTCCCCAGCACTTGGCCCCCCCACATGCTTCCCCTGTACCTGCACCCCAACATCTGCCCTCCTACGTAGAGTATGCATCGCTTTGCATCTGTCTCCTATCCACTTGCTCCTTCTTCCACTTGCCCCCCGCTAGCTGCCTACCTTCCAACCTGCCTCTTCCCTTCTGCCTGCCCCACTCCATGCTGCTGCTGTGTGGCTGGGCTGGAGACACTAGATGCTCTGTGCTCCCTGCCCTAGGCCAGAGCAGAGCCTCAGCCAGAGCTAGAGCTGTAAACAGAAGTTAAGTAGCGGGGGGGGGGGAAGGGGAAGGGTGGTGGTGGGGAGAAAAGGTGCCTGTGTTTGGGGTTGGAAAGAGAGGCTGCAGCTCTGATTCTGACCCTGGGATCAAGGTCAGAGCAGGAGTCACAGCCACAGCCACAGCCACTACTCCACCTGCTTGTACTCTAATCTAAGACAAGGGGTGTTCCCCTTCTGTTGACTGGGGAAAGAAACCTCATCTTGGATTCAAGTAAATATGGTATATGTACATCTGCATAGTTTGACAGAGGACCCTTCAATCATATAATAAAATCCCATGGCCAGAAGTTGAAGCTAGACAAATTCAGACTAAAAATAAGGTGCACATTTTTTTCAGTGAGGGTAGCTAATTTCCAAAACAACTCATCTAGGATTGTGTTTGATTATTTTTACTCAATATTTTACAATAAAGCTTCTAAAATGCTTTTAAAAGACCCAATGTAATTCAATCAGGAGTTAATTTAAGGCAGTTTCACAGTCAGCATTTCATCAGAGGTTAGATTACATTATCACAACAGTTCCTTTTGGTCATAATCTTTAAAGGAACATTTTAAAGAACATCCTTTGGAACTTTTCCTAACATGAATTTTCCTAGGTGGGAAAAAATTGGAAATGGTTACCATTGCAGGAGAATCTATTGTATTCTGATTGGGTTCTAATTTTAAAGAAACATTATCTATATCATTTAATCAAGAAAGCAATGTCTCCGAGTTAATATGAAGAATTTCAAAGAAACATCTATAGAAGTGATATGTGCTCTTCTGACTTGAATGCCTAACACCCAAAGTTAGCACAGGGAAGAACTCTCTGCAGCACTGTATCACTTCACTTGCTGAACATTTCAAGAAGAAAAAGCCACAGTCATTTTTTTTTCTCTGTCAGTAATTTACATAAGTCTTAATAAAGACAGGAAAACACAAATGACCCAATCTTGCAGGAAGAGAGTGAATGTATAATTTAATGCAACTTCCTGTTAGGCCTGTGCGAAGCAGCTAGTATTTGATTTGGATTCGGCCGGTTTGGGGGACAGTGATTTGATTCAGTGACTCGAATCACTGTCCTGAATCGATTCAGCCAAATCTGATTCGGAGATTTGGCCATTGCCAAATCGGCCAAATCTCTGAATCGGACAGGCCCCATTCCCCGCCTGCTCTTCCAGCCCTGTCAATGGCTTCCCTGCCTGGCCCCATCTCCTCGATTTTTTTTTTTTTTAAAAGCTCCAGCTCACTGGCTCTGGCCAGATGGGGTGTGGGGGGGGGGTGATCCCCATTGCCCCACACTGTGTGCGGGGCTCTGTCATGAGCCCTATCC